CCGCTCACTGGCTGAGCGAGGGGCGGGAGCAACACCGAGGGTTGCGATCCCGTGGCCGGTCCCGGTCCAGTACGGGCGCGACACTGAGGGCTGCGATCCGTTGCCGGTCACGAAAAAAGACAAAAAGGAAAAAAAAAAAACTTAGCTATTTTTAAAGTCTAGATGTATCTATGCATAGCACAGTTTTTGTTTTTTGGGGGTTTTTTTTACAAGTTTTGAAGATACAGGCGTATCTTAGAGATATTGCAGATTTGGTTCCAGATGACCGCAATAAAGAGAATATCACAACAAAGAGAGTCACACAAATTTTTTGGTTTCCGAGTGCATATAAAAGTTACGAATTACACTGTACTGTAGTCTATTAAGTGTACAATAGCATTGTATCTAGAAAAATGTACATACCTTAATTTTAAAATACTTTATTGTTAAAGAATGCAAACAATCATCTGAGCCTTCAACAAACCTTTCTGCTGGTGGAAGGTCTTGCCTCAATGTTGGTGGCTGCTGACTGATCAGGGTGATGGTTGCTAAAGGTGGGGATGGCTGTGGCAATTTCTTAAAATAGGACGACAAAGAAGTTTCCTGCTTATCTTCCTTTCATGTTTTCTCTGTAGAAGGCAATGCTGTTTGATACCATTTTACCCAGCAGAACTTCGAAAACTGGAGTCAGTCCTCTCAAACCTTGTCTCTGCTTTATCAACTAAGTGTATGTAATATACTAAGTCCTTTGTTGTCATTTCAACAGTGCTCACAGTGTCTTCACCAGGAGTACAGTCCATCTCAACAAACCACTGTGTTTGCTCATTTGTAAAAAGCAACTCCTCATCTGTTTTATTATGAGACTGCAGCAAGTTAGTCCCATCTTCAGTCTCCACTTCTAATTCAATTTCTCGTGCTATTTCCATCACATCTGCAGTTACATCCTCCACTGAAGTCTTGAAACCCTCAAAGTCATCCATGAGAACTGGGATCATCTTCTTCCAAACTCCTGCTAATGTGGATATTTTGACCTCCTCCCATGAATCACAAATGTCCTTAATGGCATCTAGAATGCTGAATCCTTTTCAGAAAGTTTTCAATTTATGTTGCCCAGATCCATCACAGGAATCACTATCTATGGCAGCTAGAGGCTTACAAAATATATTTCTTAAATAATAACACTTGAAAATTGAAATTACTCCTTGATCCATAGGCTGGACAACAGATGTTGTTTTAGCAGGCATGAAAACAACATTAATCTCCTTGTATATCTCCATCAGAGCTCTTCGGTATCAATGAGCAGTAAAATTTTGAAAGGAATCTTTTTTCTGAGCAATAGGTCTCAGCAGTGAGCTTAAAATACTCAGTAAACATAGCTATAGACAGATGTGCTGTCATCCAGGCTTTGTTGTTCCATTTGCAGAGCACAGGCAGAGCATGTTTAGCATCATTTTTAAGGGCTCTAGGATTTGGGGGACAGTAAGCAAGCATTTGCTTCAACTTAATGTCACCAGCTTCATTAGCCCCTAGCAAGAGAGTCACCCTGTCCTTTGAGGTTTTGAAGCCAGGCATTGACTTCTCTTCTCTAGCTAGAAAAGTCCTAGAAGGCATCTTCCAATAGAAAGAAAGCTGTTTCATCTACATTAGAAATGTGTTGTTGAGTGTTACCATCAGTCATCAATGATCTTAGATTTTCTGGATAACCTACTGCAGCTCCTACATCAACACTGCTGCTTCACTGGGCACTTCATGTTATGGAGATGGCTTCTTTCCTTAAACCTCATGAACCAAACTGCTAGCTTCACACTTTTCTTTCACAGCTTCATCTCTGTCTTCACAGAATTGAGGAGAGCTAGGACCCAGCTCTGAATTAGGCTTTGTCTTGAAGGAATGTTGTAGCTGGTTGGATCTTCTATCCAGACCAAAACTTTCTCCATATCAGCAATGGGGCTATTTTACTTTCTTATCTGTGTGTTTGCTGGCTGATAGAGTTTGGATGTTATTGTCCCCAAAGCTCATGTGGAAATCTGATCCCCAATGTGGCAGTGCTGGGAGCTCTTTGAGTCATGGGGGTGGATCCCTCATGAATGGATTAATGCTCTCCCTGGCAGGTGGCGGTAGTGAGTTCTCGCTTTGTTAGTTCCAATGAGAGCTGACTGTTTAAAAGACCCTGGCACCTCTCCTCTCTCTATCCCTCTTGCTTCCTCTTGCCATAAGATCTGCTTGTGCTCATGGGTTGGCCTGCCATTTTCCACCATGAGTAGAAGCATCCTGAAACCTGCACCAGATGTAGCTGTCCCAGATTTGTGAGTGAAATAAGCCTCTTTTCATTATAAACTGCCCAGTTTCAGGTAGTCTGTTCTAAGCAACAGAAATGGACTAATGCACTGTTACAACACTTTTACTTTCCTTCAAGGAACTTTTCCTTTGCATTCACAACTTGGTTAACTACCTCGTACAAGAAACTAAGTATTTGGCCTACATCAGCTTTTGACATGCCTGTCTCACTAAGTTTAATCATTCCAAAGTGATAAGACATGTGACTCTTCCTTTCACTTGAACACTTAGAGGCGACTGCAGGGTTATTAATTGGCCTAATTTCAATATTGCTGTACGTCAGGAAACAGGGAAGCCCAAGGAAAGGTAGAGAGACAGGGGAACAGCTGATCAGTGAAGCAGTCAGAACATGAGCAACATTATAATTACACTGTCATTATGGTCTTTTGTGGTGGTAATGTTTAGTTTCCTTCTCTTTCTTGGTTACATTTTTGTTCTACCAGTGGGTTTTGATCTTTCTTATGTATTTGTGGTAGTGATTATTGTTTTTCAGAGCCCAGGACTCCCTTGAGGATTTCCTGCAGGGCTGGTCAAGTGGTAGTGAATTCCCACAGTTTTTGTCTGGAAAATACAGTATTTTCCCCTCGTTTCTGAAGGACAGCCTTGCTGGGTATAGTATTCTTGGCAGGCAGGTTTTCTTTTTTCTTTTCGTATTTTGAATATATCATCCATTTTCTTCTGGCTTGTACAGTTTCTGTTGAGAAGCCTGCTGTTAGTATGATAGGATCTCCCTCATAGGTGACTTGACACTTTTCTCTGGCTTCTTTTAAGATTCTCTCTTTGTCTTTTAGCTTTGCCAGTTTGAGTATAATGTGTCTTGGAGAGGATCTTTTGGAGTTGAATATGTTTGGGGATCTTTGAGCCTCCTGGACCTGAAGGTCCATGTCTCTCCCTATACCTGGGAATTTTTCCATTATTACTTCATTGAATAGATTTTCTACGCCTTTTGCTTTCTCCTCCCATTCTAGAATAGCCATAATTTGAATGTTTGTGTGCTTAAGGTTGTCTACTAGCTCTCTTACATTTTCTTCATTTTTTAAAATCCTTTTTTCCTTTTTTTGTCCACCTGGGTTATTTCTAAAAGACTATCTTCAAGATCAAAAATTCTTCCTTCTGCTTGTTCTAGCCTGCTGCTTAGGCTATCCGTTGTGTTTTTTATTTCAATGAGTGAATCTTTCAGTTCCATGAGTTCTGCTACATTCTTTTTTAAGGTACTTATCTTTTTGTAAATTTCCTCCTTCATATCCTGGATTTTTTTTTCCTCATTTCATTAAGTTGTCTGAGTCTTCTCTTAGTGAATTTCCTTAAGATTGTTGCTAAGAATTCCTTTTAAGTCATTTCAATGGTTTCCTGCCCTACAGGGCCTGGTACTTGAGACTTACTGTATTCTTTTAGTAGTGTCATCTTTTCTTGGGTTTTCATTATTTTTAGTATCTCTATGTTGATGTCTGATCATCTGGTAGATCAGTTGCTTCCTCTATCATTCTGGAGAATAATTTGAGAAGAGAGACATACTATCCTTTTTCTGGTCTCTGCTGTTGACTCTTCTTATGTCAATGCAGTCATGTGTTTGTGGGCCACCTGCACAGTGGCTGTGACTACTGCTGTGTCGTCAAGTCACTTTTGCGGCAGCCATGGCTGTGGCAGTGGCTACTGTGGGCCACTCATGCAGAATTAGTGTTTTTGTCATGCTCCTTGCTTGCTTCTGGGTGGGGGGTGCTGCCCTCGGTCCTGCCTAGGACCCCAGGCATGCTCTGCTTCTTGCCTGCTTCTGAGTGAAGTGAGGTTCCAGAAATATATATTTTATCATTTTTTCAAGTTTGAGAATTTCATAAGGTAATTTTTCTATTTATACTAATTTCTTTCAAATACATTTAATGATTTTTTCTGTTATTTTAAGTTTTTAACATTTTCAGGATTTCAATAATTTCTGAAGTAGATATCAATTTGGCCTGTTATTTCCAGTAATTAGGAGTCAAAATTTAGAATATGAAGCAGCTAACTTGTCATTTCCTGAGTTATTTTAATCAAATTTTATGGTTAAGATAAATCAATCTGGAGTAGTAATATGGTACATTTAGTAATCCTTTCCAAGCTCTTCTACTTTTGAAGATTTCTTTTTTAGCATGTTCAATTTCTTTTTTAATTGCTAAATTATTGACTTATTTCAACTACTCTGTTAGAAACAAAAAATCATTTCATAAAATTTCTGTTATCATATAAAGTTTATAACAAACAGTACTACATGATATAGATTCAACAGCCTTTAAAGGGTGTTTTTGCTGTTTTATTTCAATATAGGTTTAATTTTAGTTCCACCCCAGAAATTTCACTTTGGCTGCTTTGCAATGGAATTGTTAAGTAGAGAAATATATGTCTGACTTCTGTTTCACATTTCAGACACTTTTAGAATGCTTAAAAAGCTCAAAATACTCATTTAAACAACAACCTGTGAATTATGAGAAGCACAAAAGGAAATGTACCAGGTTAACAAGTATTAGAAAAGACAAACATCCGACTTTTTTTTTGAAATTTAAAGAAATTTTTTATTGTAGATCTGAAAAACAATGCCTAAAAGATCAACTTTTCTAGAAAAATGTAGCTACACAATGCATTATGTCTACACTGTTAAAATGTGCATTAGATACAAATACAAAAACCATGAAATAAGCCACCATTCTTCAAACCATTTGAGCATAGATAAAACGCCTAAGGAACAACATGGATGGCTTTCAAAGGATGGGCTCTCTACTTTAACCATCATTTTAAAAAAAGGAGCACAAACGGATGAGTGTGTTCAGTTATGTACACTGACTTGAACCTTTGGCATAAGGAATCAGAGCATTTTGTCATATAGCATTAATGCGTATTATAAAAGTGCAGAGTGTCAAGGGAATAGAACCACCAGCATTCAGAAGCAGCTTTGTCAACAAGGAAATAAAACACTCTACAGCTTGTCTCTCTGTTGTCCATCATTGAATACACTGGTAGCAACTTTGAAATGAAAAAAAAAAAAATTAGGAAAGAAAAAAGGAGCTGTAACCCCTCTTATTTTCTCTGTTTAAAACCAAACAGAAAACAAACAACAATTGAGTTATACACTAACATTTTCAAAGTACATCATTTGTACAAGAGAAGAACTAAGAACAAAAATGTGTTTACAGAGATCTAAACATAAGTGAGAGTGCTTCTCACACAGCTTTCCAGTGGTACTCAGGAGCAACCACTTCATAATCGCTGGCACTAAAAAAAGTTGCAGAATCCTTTGCCAGGTACTTTAGGAAATCATGAAGATAACTCAGTAAGAAAGCAAGGCTCTTCTCATCCAGAGGTGTATAGGCCAACATTGCTCCAATTCATACAAACAATCTCAGTAGATATGGCACTCCATACACCTGGGACATGGGTGCATCAGGACGACCTGCAAGGATTTCAGCACACTGTGGTTTCTCAAATATGTAGAGTAGCTGAGTGCCCAACATTACATTGAAGTATTCTTTTGTCCTTGCCACAACTTCATTAACAACATACTCCTTAGTATCTGTGTTTCCTTGAGATTTCTTGTAGTTTGCATAATCCTCTTGAATGGAGTCCACATTCTTCTTGGCAGGAAGATAGAAGAGCTGGGTTTTTTGTTTGTTTGTTTGTCTTTTTTGTG